AAAGCAAAAGCTCAACTTTCAAATGTTGAAGCAAACACGCTTCACGTCTTTTTTTTAATGTAAATAACTATGCATATTTATATTAATAGACTATAACATATATATACTTAGCCGTTATATTAAATTCATATCACAATTTCCGACTCAGCACCACAACTAAATAGGTATGAAAAAATTTGCATTCACAAAAACAATCGCATTTAAATTTCAAATGTTGTTTGGGTGATAAATGTTTAAGAGCGAGCCCCCCCCCCTGACTTATGGCGAGTGTTGTTGCCCAAGCTCAAGTCGCTAGCCTGAGTCGCGGAGCGGGGTGGGCAGGGGCAGGGGCAGCCATGCGTCTGACATGGACTAATTAAGTTGCGCAGTTTGATCAGATTTACTGGCGACCAGTTTGCCTCAGCGATCCGTGGCGATACTTTCCCAATCTCGGAGCCATCTGTCAGCGAAAACCCTATCAAGAAAAAAATCAAAAAAAAAAAGCAAAAACGTTGAAACTAAACAAAGCAAATGTCAAATCCGTTTGAGGCGCATATATTTTTTTTTTGGCGCTGCTAAAAAACGCTTGATAATCGCTTTTGGCGCTTGTAGACAAACAGTTCAATGACTAGGTCTAGGCAGTGTATGGCAAAAAGTCAGCTGGGCGAGTTTCAGTAAGCAACTACAAGACCGCTAAATACCCTGTAATATAAAGCAGTCTGGGCAGTGTATGGCAAAAAGTCAGCAGGAAGAGCTTCAGTTAGCAAATACAAAACTTTAGAGGATACTCTGTAATATAAAGAAAAAGATTTGTAATTTGTTTCTACATATCTTATACCTATCTGAATTGAAACTCTGAAAAACCTATCCGAATTTGGGCTCTATTAAGGCTAAAATTGAAAACTTTGTATGTGAGCTCTATAAAATCGTACTTGGAATTCATTTGATTGTTGTTTGAGGTATTCCCTCTGCTATGCTTTTGATGACAACTTTTGTGTACGATTCTTAATTTTGCTTTTGAATTGGATTTTCTATATTATTAAACCTATAAATTTCAGAGCTGTATCTATAAAAGCTGAATAAAAATGGATAACACTTCTTAATTTGAAATAATAATACAGGGTATACAGTCAACCTGTTATGTGCTTTTTTCTGTATCTTCGACTGCTGCGACTTGTCGTCAAGCAAGCGACAAGATGAATTTGCCTAATTTATTAAACGACGAGCCGCACAGTGAGCGGAGTCTAGCTAAAAATCAAGCCAAATGCCGATAAAAGTCGATTGAATAATTCTAGGGATATCTGAAATACATTTGTATTTTTCAGACAACTGGAAAGTTAAGCTTATTGTAATTGCCTGAATGCCTAAAAAATAGTTGAATTGGCCTTTTTTTGTGATTCGCAAAATTAAAAAAGCTGCCGCCACACTTTCCACTCTATACAAAATTTTGCTTGTCAGCCTTTCGAAGTGGCAACTCATTTTTTTGCTATTCAAATTATTTTTTTTTTTATATTCTTTTTGCCGCCTCTAATTTAAATTAGCTTTATGTGAACATTAATTTGATAAAAGCTGCCGCAAGAGTTGCGCTCAGAATTTGGGTTATGTGAGCTGCCAATGGGGTGTGTCAGTCTTTTTCTGGGTAATATTAACTATGTGGGCCTGGAAGCGAGGCTGGCAATAAATGCGATAAGATTTCTTTTCTTGCTTATCAAAGCCTAAAACTAAATAAAATAAAAAAACTTTCGCTTTCTTAATTGGGCAACTCGGCTTACGGGGCGGAGTTACCACTCCAACAAAAAAAAGGCTGTCATTTGCTGGGCCAACAATAACTGTTATTAAATTGCCAAACAAGTTGGCAGCTCCTTGGCAACGATATCATCTGATATGGCCCGGCCATCGTATAATATGCTTATATGGCACATTATTTTTTATGCTCTTCATAATTTGTTGATTATGCGCCCCCGGGCTTATGAACTGTAGAATGACAGACGTTGTGCCTGAAACGGAGCGCGGATCATTAAAAGATACATTTCATTTGTCTGTTGTAGCCGACATCTAGGTGTTATTTTATACACAATCCACATTTTGTTCTTCCTTTTTTTTTTTTTTTTGGCTATTTTTGGTTATAGTATTTTTTTGTTATTTTTTTTTATAACTTGGCACATGTGTCGCTTGTCCCTAAATAGTTTTCCTGAGGCTTTTTTTTATTTATTATTTTTATGCTGTACCTTTATTGTTGTTGCAGTTGCTGTGGTTCGCTGTGCGGCTTGTGGCCTTTTGATGCCCTTACAGAATATTTAACATAAATTCTACCAACTGGCGGCATAAAAACAACAACAACAGCAAACAAGAACGAAACTTTTGGCTTCGCTTGGCACACATATTGGGCCTGCTGGGTCGACTGGGCCTTCAATTTGGCAGCTGTTTCGGGTGAAAGGCATTAACAAAAAAGTCAAGCCGAGTTGCCAAAGGGTTATGCATATTTTAAATGCTCATAAGGTTATTTTTATTAACAAGCTCGAAGCTCGAGCATGCCAATAATAACAACAGCAAAGACAGCGCGCCGCATTTTTGGCTTGGTGTGAAGCTCAGCTGTTAAATTTATACAACAAAATTCTAGATTGTTAAGTGAAAGGTGTTCAGTTCTTTTTTCAATTATCTACATCTAAAGCTTATTTTCTTTTTACGGTTTGTCAATTTTTAGGCTGTTCTGTTAAGCTGCCAGTTTAAATGATTAAAGAAAAGTGATATTTACCTTAAAACAGCAATTGCTTAACATAACATACAAATGTTAAGAAATGTTAACTTAAATTTAACAGATGACAAATGTCTTTTCAAATTTCCATCCTGTTAACAGAGTTCACACAGACTGCTAACAGCGCGCCATTTACTTACAGCTGATTAACATAATATACAAATGTTAGTGACAGTGCGCACTAAGGATAGGCTTACAGAAAATTCGATTGAGTTCTTATAGAAACACATAAGAATATATTGGCTATAAACTGTAACCGTATTTTATGACCCAACTGGTTGGCATCAGAACTCGCTTTTTGGCCCTGGCTTTGACATGTGTGTGCGTGTCTGAGTGTGTGCGTGTGTGTGTGTGTAACGTCTTTGGCATGCGAATGCCGTTTTGTTTTTGGGACGACTTTTGAGCGGTCATAACTGTTGGCGTTTTATGTGCGTTTTAAAACGCGGGCGCGTGGCAACGACGACAAATTTGAATTGCGATGCCTTTGGACATTGCATATGTGGTGGTTGTGTGCGTGTGTGTGCGTATATGTGTGCTGATTATCTGCAGTGCTGCGACGTTGACGCAGCAGAAAGCAATTAACATTTTGATGCCTGAAATTTGGCCCACAGACGGACGAGCGTGCAACGTGCAACATTATGAGTTGTCTGTTATTTATATTCGTTTAGTCGAGTTGGCGGCAATTGAATTGTTGTTGTTTATAGTAATTAAAACGGGGTGCACTTAAATGTTGCATAAAAAATGCTGCTGCTACTGTTTGCAGCAACAGTTGCTGTTGTTGCGGCTGCTGCTGCGGCTGCGTAGGCATCTGAACACGTGCCAAAAAGTCAGCAGCAACGTCTAAGTGCAACGACAACGTCACTCAGCTGCCCCGTCGCATGCCCTGCGGCACTTCCTTAAAGTGTATCACATAGATACACTTGTCGCTGTCGCTGCCGCTGCCGCTGCTGCAGTTAGTGCGTGATTATTTTCAAATTCGACACAGTTTTATGCGCGAATTGTTTTTGTTGCCACATTTATTTTTAAACAATTTGCCAGTCGCACTGCGACTCTCGAGTTTTTCCCTTGCTTGGCTTCATTTTGCGAGTTGTTTTCCAATCTTTTTTTTTTTTTCTCTCGCTTAGTTGGCCAATTTGTGCATTCGGTGGGGGAAAGTCATTTTCGATGTTTCGATGTGTTTTCACCGAGTTTTTTGCATAACTGCCCGAGCGAGCAGCGTCTCCCTTTTGGGGCGGTATTTATGTAACCCGCTGACCACTTGACGCGCCCATAGATACAATTGTATCTTTTTGTGTTGTATCGCCGGCCACGTTTGCTCGTCTAGCTCGCACTGATAGTCGCTGCCTAAAAATAAACTGTGCCACTTTGCGATGCCATCGTCAGGCGTCTGCTTAATATAGCCGCAACACTAATTAAATGTCAAAATTACGCATAAAAGCGCTTAGATTCAAGAATTTATATACAATTCGACTAATCTTAAATGTTGGCGTTGGAATTTTCAAAGCCAATTCGAATATGCAATAACTTTTGTGTGTTAAGCGCTCTTCGAAATACTTTAAAAATGTCATATGACGGTTGGGGATGCATATATCAGTAGCAGGTGCTCTAACTGATGATAATATCTTCTGATGGTCAAGCTTGTAATAGAGACGTTAAATATAATTGAAGATTCAGATCGATAAAAGACAATTTATATATAGAAAGATATCTAGAAGTCCGATAGTATAAAGATAAAATATGGATAGAATATAGTGTAAAGACATAGGTGAAATATATAAGATAGCTCGAAGAGTGAGATATATAAAAAAAAAGATGGAAGATTAGGGCGAAGCGAAGACAGGTTACATGAAACTATCAGATAGGAGGAAGATATATGACGGATAGTTAAAAGATAGACAAAAGATAAAAGCGACCACTGAAAGTTATAAGGGAGAAAGATGGAAGATAGAAAGTAGATATTAGGCAGATAACCGAAGATAGATAGCTGAAAGACAGATGGATTGGCGATAAAGGATGAGTCCAAAAATATAGAAGGGAGATAGAGGGAAGATTAATAAATGAAAAATTGAAGATAAAGGTAAGCGAATAGAAAAATGTTACAGAAATCAATACTATGAAAAGTATTCATGCATTATTATATTTCAATCAATAAACCTCAAGCGTTGCATTTCTTCTGAGCTCTAAATCATCAATTCGCTTATAATTCACAATTTGTTTAAACACTTTTGCTTTCAATAACCTTTGCTCTGCTCTTCTCTCGTTACAGTTTCGAAACTGCAACATGTTGGCGTTGCAACCACAAACCTAAGCACACAGCAACAACGTTACGTACAACAACAAGAAATTCGTTTAGTTGTTCGACTTTCAGGCTTGAAAGACCCCACTGTTGACTGCTCTGACATGACTAGGAAGTCAGTGGAGTTGATAAAATGCATTATCAGCGGGGAAGACGAAGATGAAGATCCGCAATATCAACAGCAACAGCAACAGCAGGAAGGGCAAGCCATGAAATTGAAAAGTGTTAAACAAGTCTACGATATGATAACCTAAATTTCCTGGCAGCAAGCGGCGAATTTATTTCAACTGGAACAGAGAACTCTAAAAGAAAACGAATACAAGTAAAACCAAGAAAAATCAAAACAAAAACCCACAACGAAACGAAAGTAAAGGGATATATATATATACATACATATATATTTTTTTTTAATGTTATTGAAACGGGGCGTTCATATGTTTCAACGATATTTAAGGGCGTGCCGCACGCCCAGCAACAACTGACAAACTGAGGGGGCAGTGCCCAACAGCAACAGTCGCAACAATTTTATAAACAACAACAAGTACTTGAAAAACTGAAAAAAAAAGAAAAAAACATCAGCAACAACAACTAAAAACTCTTGTGAAACTGCAGTTGTAATCTTTCATGCGAAGAAACCTGCGTTTGGATTGGAGGGCCCTGGCGATGCTGGGCGCCCTCCTTTCGTTTATCATAGCCTGGTCGGGTCTGGTGTATGCATTGCCAGCGCAAACGGCGATATCGAACCAACAGCAAGCCACAAACAATACACAAGCAAACGTAAATAATATCAATAGCAACAACAACACTAACAGCAACAGCAATAGCCGTAATCAATATAGTAGTAATAGTTCTATACAAAGTGATCATAGTCGTAATAGTCGTGAACATAGTTTAGATCAAAATCAAAGTATTAGTGCTGAATTTAATATGCGAACGTTAAACATAACAAATCCATCAACTGCCATAAACTCAATTACCGCAACAACAACAGCAACACCCAGCAGCAACAGCAACAGCAACAGCAACAGCGACAGCGACAGCAGCACAACAGCAGCAACAATTGCTGATGCGGATCCTTTGGGATTTGTCTTCTCATCGGCGCCACGTGAACATTTGGCAATACTCTCACGCACAGAGCGCAGCATACGACATCAGCATCTGCATCTGGATCATCAGCAACTGAATAATAGACAGCAGCAACAATCGCCTGTTGCTGCTGCTGCTTCGGCTGCTGCTGTTGCCAGCAACAGCAATTTCATTGGTTCGAAATCGAAAAGACTGAATAACTCTAGAAATAATCTACACATAAATAGTAGCAGTAACAACAATCCCAACAGCAACATCAACAACAACAATAATCCCAGCAATTTGGATCGCAACGAACGCTCCACCATCTCCCATATGGCGGGTGTATCGCGCAAAATCCAGTTATATATCAAGAACCGTATACTACAGCTGCTGCCAGATGGTACTGTAAATGGCACACAGAACGAGCAGAGTGAATACAGTGAGTACCCCTTTTTTCTTACCACTAATATTCGAATCATTATATTGGGTATTTCTAAGGTAGAGCTCTCCCTTGCTAAACTGTGATTGGTAGATTTTCGAAGTTTTTATGAAACGCGTCAAGATATTTTAGTTGCAGGTACTTGGAGTATCATTTGGAAAATCATTTTCTAAAATAAAAATTATACATTACATTAAAAATATGAGCATATAATAAATATTCTTAAATAATTGACTCTGAATAGTGCCCATTTAAACGAAATTATGTCTTCTACTTTTATTTTAAACAAATAACAAGAGAATTATAGAATAGTATAGAAATAGTACAAACTAATGAGGCTTTTATTATATTTATAAAATAAATTGTTAACGTTCTATGAAAATAATTTTTCATTCAAATTTCTCATAGAACTACTTTTACCCCTTTTTTTTAATAAATTTCTGCATTTGAACTTTCTATATACAAAAATGAAGTAATATCTATATAAAATTGTTTAAATTTAGGTAAATCTCCAGAGCTAAATTTAGTTTTTATGTACAAGTTTGTAACTTTGACCTTATGTGTAAGAAGCTGTCCAACCGAACTTCAAAGTTGACGCCCCATTGTTTAAGTTTCCCTAACACCAAACTTGCCCCAAAAATGTTTAGTTTTTCTATCATTTTCATCAACATAAACAAGCAAATAAACTAATGCGCATACAACATACATAATATATATGAAATATCAGCAGACCAATATGTAGTATATATCTGAGTGTGTGTGTGTGTGCGTGTATATATAGATCACTTGGCACACGCCCACTCATGCAGCGCCCACAAGTTGAAAGTTCTCATAAAAAAACGATGATAATGTTGTGTTTTTGTGTTTGTTTCAACGCAAAAAAAGCTGCCTGCGGCTCGGGACGTGTTTGGTTGGCCAAGAAAATACAGAAGAAAACAGAAGAAAAAAAAGCGTTGAAAAATTTGTAGAAAAATTTAAGAAAAATATTTGTAGCGTAGCTGTTTATGTTGAGCATCATTAAGTCAGACACTTGATTTGGCAATCTGCTGCTGTTTAGGGCGCCCAGGAGAGAGGCATCTATTGTATTATTTGCCATATAAATTTATGTTGTGGTGTGTGTGTTTGCGAGTGCGTGTGCGTGTGCGTGTGTTAAGGCTGAATTGCTGGCATAAATCTTGCTTTAATGTACTGAGCGACCTGATTAGCTGCCGCTGCTCATGAGTCAGCCCATCAGCTGGCCATTTGCATAACCTGGCGGGCAGTTTGTTTCTCTCTTTTTTTGGAGGGGGGGGGGGCTTAATCAGCCTATCGCAACTTGTTGGCCAAATTAATTTACAGCTTCATTTTCATTCAGTTTGTTAATTTTTTTTTCTCGCAATTTGCAAGGCTGATAACAAAAGCGGCAGCCAAAACTTGTTGTACAAGCGGCCGGTTTTAGGCGCGTTTTTAATCGCGCGCAGGCATCGCGCCATTGAGACATCAGCGACGCGATGCCGCTCAGATAGTGCAGATACATGCTTGCTGTTGCTGTTGTTGTTGCTGTGATACCAAATTTATGTTGTTGTTGCTGCTGCCTGCAGCTCGGGTGTTAATTTGATTTCATGCGCCTGCCTCATGCGATAATGTTGCCCGGCTGCGATAAGATTTAGCCCGAAAAGCGTATTCAATGCTTTTTTCTTGTTGGTTAAAAGGCGCTTTTATAAGGTGTTTGGGAAAAGATTTTTATAGCAATTGCTCAATATTTAACACTCAACCACTTTCTCAAAGCGATTTTGTTCGTGTGTGTATTTTCCCTATTGCATGGAGTTGGTGAGTTTTTTATGAGCTTTCAAACAGAAATCACGCACTTGACGTGCTCTTAACTTCTGTCGAGCTAGTTTATCAGCCATTATAAGCGTTTTTCGCTGATAAGACGCGCTCTTGATTAACATGACTGTCACAAAAAGGAAAAAGAGGGACACACATTTTTGGAAAGTCTTGCGCAAATTGAAGCTGTCTAAATACAAGAAAATTGCTTAAAATTTCCACGCATTTTCCTCTAGAGTTCAGCGAAGCAGTTGACCTCTGAAAATAAAAACGCCAACTCAAGTTGCAATTTGCTCGAGCAGCTAACGGTGAGTGAGTGGCACAGACTGCGCAGACCGGATCCTCGTAGCTGTAGCTGACCTCAAACCCTTTGGGGTTTTGCTGCTGATGGGGCGTGCATATTTTCATAATGAAATATGAGTGTACCAGTACTTGTCGGTTTTTTTTTATTTTTTTATTTTATTTTTCTTCCATCAAGTCTCTGTGGGCAATTATGCGACTGATTTAGTGCGTGGTGCGTGGTGCAAGGTGTGAAGTTAACTGAAGTGGCTCTGGCTAAAAGCTGACTCTGTGTCTCGGGTCTCGCTTGTTTTCATTTGGGTAGATGCTAAAAGCTTCCGACAGATTTTTTTGATAACTTAATTTACGGCACGTCTTCAGCGCGTTGATGAAGTTGTTGCATCGATTTTAGAGCTGCGCAGCTCGAGTTACTTTCACTGTCACTCGACTTGCGGCCCGCGTGTTAATTGCTTTTCGTAAATACTATATGCCGCCTTATTCACCAGATTTTGTTGCATTTTAGGCACATCAAAGACTGTGCTTTCAGCTACATACATAAATGTCAAAAGTGTTAGCAACAACAGTTCGCTTTGTTCCCATTCGATTATGATTTAATTTATTTTCTTCTATTTTATTTTTTCTTGTTTTTATTTTTTTTTATAGCACATCAATAGAATGTTCACATAAAGCATATAAGTTATAGCTATCTAAGAACTTTCCAAGCCAGCTGGACTTTAAATAGCTACACATTCCGGCGCAGACAAATTGCATAAACTGCGTAAATCCCTCGGCCCGGAGCATTATCATGATTAATATTGTAATCATTTGGTTAAGAGCCTATTCAGGGCGAATTTCAACACACAACACAATCCGAATCGGAAGAGCGCAACGTAGCATGTCCAAAGGGCCAGCTATTATATCATTTTCAGCACATAATACAATAAATTGTTTTTTACAATGGTCCAAGAGCTCAAGAGTATCAAAAGATACATATCTAGATGTATCTAGATACAGCTTTATAAATTAGGCAACTGCTCAAAAATGCCCATTCCTTGTGAATAGTTCGGCTAGCTTTTATATCATTTTCAGCACATAAACAAATTACTTAATTATATGAGCTCTTACGTCACAAGCTATATCTATCTAGATACATGTGTATCCAGGGCTTACATGTATTATGAAAATGTTCAAACTGCTCAAAATGAAAAGTTTTGGAAGCAATTCAGCTAGCTTTTAAATCATTTTCCACTTAGTGAGCAATCAACAAATGTTTATAACTTCTCTTTTTTTGATCAGCTGCATCATCTGATTATTTACTAGTTGCACCTAGATACATTTGTATCTGCAGCTTAAATTTGTTTAGAAATAGGTCAAGATAAAATCAGGTAGCTTTATTATAGCATGTTCATTCTGAACTCATAAGATATATATGTATATATCTAGATACACCTGTATCTACAGCCTTTGAAATGCCCTACTAAGACCAATAGGTAGATAGCTAGATAGATTCATATCATAAACGACACAGAATTATAATTATAAATAATTATTAGAGTATATAAATTAAACGAGTGCTTAAGTCAAAACTTTTGATAGACAGTTTAGCCAGCTATTATATCACTTTCAGCACATTAAATAATAAATAAAATTTTTACAATCAACTTGAAGTAGCTACGTCACAAGATACACAGCTATATTTATATATCTAGACACATTGTGAAAAATCTCTAAAGAAATATGCTTGAAACTGAAAAGAATGTTAACATTAGAACATTTTTGGATAGTCTAATGAGCCGGCTGCCACAGTCAGTTTACGCGTGTGGGTGGGTGGTGCTGATGCTGCACCACTTGATGTGCCATTGTCAGCGAGTCGGCTCATCAGAACGCACGGCGTGATTTATGCGGCGTACGAGCAGCATGAAAGTGTTTTGTTTTAGATAAGATTATGTACTATATATGTCTACATATATATATATGTATAGGGTGTATGGCTGAAACAGAAGCGGACAACGCAATATGTCATATGGATTTATAGTTGGCGTTGGCGTTGGCGCTCTTCTGCTCGGCTCTGCAAAAGTTTTCCGGCTGCTATTTATAGTACAGATGGCAATGAACTGCGCTGGTTGAAAATTGCTCAAGTGCTCGGCAATTCGATTATGTAAAAGGTCTAGGCCATTAAAGAAATTGTTAAAAGCCAGCTCATCCAATTCCCCACAATTTGGTGGCTGCTTGGCTGGATTTTATGGTCAAGTGGTTGCCTTAAAAAAAAGCGCACAAATTCCGAAGAGACATTGACAAGAATGTTAAATTATGCGTAAAGTTCATTAAAATTTGTAAGCCTACCAGGTTGCTACGTAATATTTATGAAGCTGTCCAGCCTATATAAATTATCATGATTAATGATATTTTGCACGCAGTCTGTTGCCAAGCTGCTGGCTGCTGCCTTTGCTCTTGTTGTCGTTGTTGTTGTAGTTGTTGTGGCCGTTGTTTTACAAGCTTTTTACGAGCAATTCATTTTCACCTCAGTCCCAAAAAGCCAGCAGCAGCCAGTCACATATTGACCGCTGACCAGTGGCAAAAACATTGACACAGAAACCAAAAACTACAAGAAAACCGAACAGCAACAACAACAACAACAACAACAAGTCACAACCACAGATATCGAAAATTTATTGTTTAAACATAAAAAGTGTTTAACAACATGCTAAATAAAAATTTGTTGACTGTAAGCTGAAATGAAGGCTGATTGGCTCATGCGGCGTATGCGTAATTTGTAATCAGAGTGTACTTTGCTACCGTCTCAAGAGATCTAGATAGCAAAACGAGCCTGTTTTATGTAGTTGAAGATTATTTATAAAGATTTTTATAAGCTGAATGAGTGCAGTAGTTCTTTGGAAGACTTTCATGAAGCAAAA